CCCCACCCCACCCCGTTCTTCAGCTTTCCCTTCAACAGCGACTGCAGTTGATTGCGAGCGGGTGAGTCCACACGGCGCGGAGGGGGTGTTAATGAATTCCAGCCGGCTGCTAAATGAGGACTTATTAAAGTGCTGCTGCCTCCTAGTTTGACATTTCGGAGCTTCTGGTGGAGTTTTAAACCTCTTCCTCTGCAAATGTCACTCGCTGCCTCTCTGGAAGGGCCGACCATATGAAGAAATTCTGGTGTTTGCTTCGGGTTGTAGTCAGAGGAAGAGAGAGACCGAGAGAGAGACTGAGGAAGTGTGGCTTTAAAGGGACAGTCAGGTCATTTTAGAAGTGATGTTCTGTCAGATGTTAGGTCCAGCTTTTGGTTCTGAGCAATGTTCTTATGTTTTTAAAGTACTTCTCTCTCAGACCAAGCTTTTTGACTCTGGGCAGCAGATTTCAGTCCACAAGGCCTTGATAGTCTTGAGATTCCATTGCACTCTATATAGATTTCAGACTCCCTGTGTCAGATGCAGCAAAGCAGCCTCACACAAACCCAAGCTGCCTCCATGTTTCACTGCAGGTTTTTCTTCTTTAAATGCTTCATTTTTGGCTCAGTGAAAAACAAGCTCACGGGACTTAATGCCAAAAAAGTCTCATCAGTTTAAAGAACTCTCTCCCAGGAGTTTTGTGGTTTCTTGATACGCGTTGAGACAAATTCCAGTCTGGTGTTTGTCTCATCCATTTTGGTTCAAACAGTAATGGTCAAAAAAAATTTTTTTTTTGTTTTTTAATAAAGCCTGAAAACTGATGTAGAACAGGTCATTATTTGGCTAGCTGTTAGCATAGCCAAGATCAGGGGTCTGCAGTCTGTGGCTTTTTGAACCTTTGATCAAAGCCAACATGGGTTAAATTTTTTTATGCTTGCAAGAGAAAGGATGGCTTCAGCAGTTCTCCTGTCAGTTTGTTTAAAAAAAATATGTGATCAGTACAATCGCTACAAAAACTGAAACTTTTTTGACTGAATCATGCTAGTAGCTTGTTAGCCACTTCAATAATTCAACTTCCAGGCTTTTTGTTGGATATTTCTCTCAAATCCATTAGGGCTACCTTTAAAAACCTTCAAGACTAGACTAGATGTTAAGGATTAGAAACAAAAATATGCCTGCATAGTTCAGTAGGCTATTTGATAGGCTAAACCAGGGGCTCTTATTTTGGGTCTGGGGACTGTTTACAAGGGTGAAACATTTCCAGGGACCCCCTCATAAACCCCAAGCTGTTTTTGAAATAATTTACTGTCATTTTAACCCCTAAATGTCATGGGAATATTAGTTTTTGTTTGGTTGAGTATGTTAGTTTTATTAGTACATTGTCCCACATAAGCATTTTTTAAATAAAAACCAAACAAACAATTTCTTGAAATTTTTTTGAGGGCCCCCAATATATGGCTCGCGGACCTTTGCGGGTCCTCGGACCCCAGTTTGAGAACCTCTGGGCCAAATTATATTCATTATTTTTCTCGTTTACGTGACTATGGTGTTATCCTTTGTCCTGAAGTGTAAAAGTAACAATAAACATTAAAAGTCACTACATATTTTTAGTTTTGTAACGTTGACCCCACTGGAGAGGTCCCTACTCAACGAGCTCAAAGTGGCCCACGGACCACCAGTTGGTGAATACAGTTGTAAGCAGTGTTGCAGCTCTGGGGCAGACCTGATCTAGATGAAGGTTTTCTGTGTTCGGGCTGATGAGGTTTTCACTAAAATGAGCAGATTATTTCTTCACAGAACAAAAACGGTTTGATTTAATCGTGCCTCTTTGTGTTTTTGTCTCTGCAGCCACGTCAGACGGGACACGCCAAGGCCTGGACAGCATGAGAGGGGGCGTGTGCGCCACGAAAGGCATGAAGGTGGTCCTGAAAGTCGGACAGAGTAAGTCCCCCCCCCACCCGCATCTATCGCCGCTCGACCACCAAAGCCTCCTAACAGGTGGCAGGACGGGTCAGAACCTCGGAGCAGCTCGCGTTCATTAGCGCTCCGCTTTTTTTAAAGCATCTCTCTAATCTTCTCTCCCGTCTCCGCGCACGTCGCCGTTTCCCCGCGTGTTCCTCGCGAGGATATTAGGCCTCGTTAAGTGGCGAGAACAGCGCCGAAGTGTGGGATCAGTCAGCTCTAATGAGGCCTGTTGACTCCCTTCTCACTCTGCCTTTTAACCACTCCTGACTCTCTCTCACACACACACACACACACACACACACACACACACACACACACACACACACGCACTGTTTGATGCTAAAACACACACACACACGCAGGATTCAGAGGTGTCCATGTGAACATATCCCCTCGCAGCAGACCTGCCAGGGAAAGCACGATAACAAAATGACTCCATTTGGTGTTAAAGCCCGCAGTCAGAGGGTTTTAATGACTCGGAGCCGAGCACACCTCTAATTTGTTTGGAAAATATTCACCGGTAATGACCCGAGCATGCTGCTTTTTCAAGAGAAGCTTTTTAAAAAATGGCCAATTTAAGCATTTTCACTGACCTGCACGTTGCTGCACATAATAGGCAGCTGTCCTTCACATGACCGCCCACACACACACACACACACACACACACACACACACACACACACACACACACACACACACGCACACACACTTTATTTCCACAGGTTTTCACCACACACGGGACAGAAAAGCGCCCGTCGTTCCATGCCTCCTCCAGCAGAATCCTTCCCTCGCCTCCTAGATTCCTTTTTTTTTTCATCCCTTCTGTTTCACGCGGCCTTCCTCTCCTCCTCCTCCTCTTCCTCCGTCTTATCTGCCGCCCGGCTGAAAGGTCACGTCTATGTTTGTCGTCTAAATAAGGCACACGCCGCCTCATGGACATCAACGATGCGACGCGCCGATAGGGGCTCGACTCCGAGGAACACAAACACACGCACATCCATTGACCCGTCCACCTTCATCTGATTTTTTTTTATTTTTATCCCCGGATTCTCCTCATCTGCCCCGGCTGACCACATCGATCCAAACCTCCCTCCCAACCAAAACTTCTGTTTGGTTTACTCTCAAAACGAAGCCACTTTTCTAAATGTCAGTACAAACCCTCATATATCTTCGTGCAAAAGTTTTAACCCCCCCTCCGTTCTTCATGACGGACTCTTGAAGTTTTCTCTATCAACAGTCCTTTGAGCTTACTTAGATGTTGAATGTTTTCTTTTAACTTCGGCTGCTTTTTACGAAGTTTTAATTCAGAGTATTTATATAACGCCCTTTCACAATAAAAGTCACTTCATGGTACTGAACTGGGTTCATATTTCTGCAAGAGTTTGGCAACACAGGAGTCACGATATGATATACAGTATATCACGATATATTGCGATATCGTAAGAAAGGCGATATATCACCCTTTTTTACTCCAAAATACAGTATATTAATAAAAACTCAGTGTAAAGAGAGCATCATGTATTACATGGATAAAATCTGATTAAATTCAGTTTATTTTTATGAAATCAGAAGAACAGTGAGAACTGTATTTGTTTTTCATGTCTTCCTTCTCTTGGAAACACTGACTCCTTTAAAAAACAACAAAAAACTCACCTTGTCACCCAAGCATTCAACTGAATATCTCACAACTTGAGTTTATAAGCCCTGTGTTATTCTGGTCTAGTATCCATCCCCTCCACCTATAAGGGTGAGAGATAAATTGAACTCCATTTTGTTTTTGTTTCAAATATTGAATGTATTTGAGTGTATAATTTGTACAGCTATGGTGATATATTTGCTTTTTTCTTTCTGATAATGGACGTACAGCACCTTGTGAAATCCTTTTCTGTGAAAGGCGCTATATAAATAAACTTTTACTTACTTACTAACATCTATTAAACCTTGATTAAAAATTGATACAGTATCAGGAAACAAAATTTCGCAACATTTTTAGTGTATCAATATTTTCTTACATCCCTAATATATTATAAAATGTAAAGTAGTTAAATTTGTCTAAGGAAGCCAACAGATTATCAAATTTTCACTTCCATCTACTATTTGTAACATAGTTTGGGTGACAGTGGGAAGGAAAGGTTCCTCCCATCTGCCTTGACCTGTTTGAGAGGACTGAAAAGAGACATGAACACAGAACGACTGGTCCAAGTCTTGTTTCTATATCCATCCATCCATCCATCCATCCATCCATCCATCCATCCATCCATCCATCCATTTTCTTCTGCCTATCCGGGGTCG